ATTCAAGACAATAAGTCAAGCCCGGCTGAGGAGGTTTAGTGTCTGGATGGGTGACCTAATATATTGTATCTACTACTCAATCTTTTTCTCTTATTTTTTTATTTTTTAAAATCTTTTTTTTTTTAATCAAACGAAAGAACTTTGTCATGACTTTTAAAAAGCATATAAATGCTGTTAGCTGGTCTTTTCAAAAAAAAAAAAAATTTTTTTTTCCAGCAAGGAGGAGATTACCATGTTCCTGAGAGAGTGCTCTAAGAACAACTTGGTTGTTATTCCAATCATACAAACATTTGGACATTTAGAGGTATGAAATAATGCATCTCTTATCAAAACCTTCCATCCCCCTATCCTCCCCTCCTTGGGAAACCCTTGTTCCATGGGAGGGGATCGATGGTAGGGATCAATGAGTGTATACTTTCTTAAGGTGCGGACATACGGTAACATTGCAAGCAACAAATCTGAATCGGGGTGACACACATTGCATCGCAACATCGTGTGTGTCAGCCTGCTATGCTAAGATATTTGGTCAGCAGTTATAAATTAGGTGCAAGCTGATTGGCTGGAAATTTTAAAATGTTGCACGCAATGTTGCAGCCATGTTCACATGATGAAATTTGTTGCACGTAATGCTGCAAGAGTAGAGCGCGATTCAACATCAGATTTGTTGCATGCAACGTTGCGTACAACAGGTTTGGGGTAGACACACGGTGCAACAGTCCTGTTGCGTGCAATGTTGCATGCAATGTTGCACCGTATGTCCGTACCGATCGAAAGAATATACAAGATATTTCCCTGAACATTTCTAATTTTCTTGTTGGTGAGACGAAGCTTTGAAACAGATCGGAATGGAATTGTGCTTGAGGGGGCATTGGGCTTATAGGGGTCAAGAGAGGGGGATGTGGGGGATTGGAGGCACAGCATTTCTAAACCCATAGAATTCAACGCGTAAGGCGTAATGCAGAAAAAYTCACAAATAAAGTAATTCATTTACTTCTTAGTTTGTGTTAAAACACGAYGAATTTGCTCATCTTCGGGAAACGAAGCCATATACGAACTCACTTTGTCCAAGCAATAAAGGTATACCTATTCGCCAATTCGTTTATGTACGCCAATATGGCTGCCATGCCTCTATTCTTGGTTACACGAGACATCATCACCGCCATGTTGGTGTACCGTTAACCAAAGATTTCTCGTTAGCTTCTCTTGTTATGTACAGCAATATGGGTGCCATGCCTCTATTCTTGGTTAGCATGTGACATCATCCCCGTCATGTTGGTGCACCGTTAACCAAAGATTTCTCGTTATCTTCTCTTGTTATTTACACCAACATGGCTGCCATGCCTCTATTCTTGGTTAGCATCATCACTACCACGTTGGTATTGACCATAACTTTACAATACGTCTTCACTGACCGTATTCACCATTTGTCCCTTTTTAGGTTCATTGCCTCTTATCAAGAAGATGATTGACCAGATATTGAATTTGCATCCAAGTGCTCAATGGCTGCACGTGGGRGGAGACGAGGTAAGAGTAAACTAGTTGATCATGGCAGTGGTGGCGGAACGCAATTCGAAAATGTGAGGGGGTGGAAGTAACCAAACAAGCAAAATGTAATAGGGGAATTTGAAAGCACTCTAAAAATGTGTGTGTGTGTGTGTG